TAAGTATATTTAACATCTTGTCCCATTTAACATTGTCAAAAGCTTTCTCTAAATCTACAAATCCTATATGTATGCACTCTTTCCTTTTTCTATCGTTTTCTCTATTGTTACCCGTAAAGCTAGAATGGCCTCCTGCGTTCCTCTATTTCTTCTAAACCCAAATTGATCTTCCCCTAATAGTTCTTCTGCCCTTTTTTCCATCCTCCTTTGTACAATTCTAGTTAAGGTTTTTGACGTATGGGAAGTTAAGCTAATTGTTCGATATGACTCGCATCTATGTTTATGTGAAATAAAAAATTATTAAGTAACCTAATATAAGAAAAATTGCAATAAAAACTAAAATTAGTATCTACAGTCGTTGTAGTGATATGATATGATAAGAAGATTAATATTTAAAAAGATCGAGTTCATTATCAAATTCTAAGTAACTAATAAGACTATAAATAGGAGGAAAATAGCGTACTGATGAGAACAAATAAGTTCTGCTACTTTCGATAAATTACCGACTAAGAACTGAAACAATTTAAATTTCTAAGATCTTTATTTATTTCTGCCAGAATTAAATCGCAGTTGTTTGCGCACAAAAAGAAGAAACAATCTAGTTGTTTGTTTTTAATTCATATATTTTTCCCGTGTAGGTATATGCATGAATGTATACGTAAAATCCATTTCCTCCGCTTTAACTAAGCGAAAGCCAATCCTAGCGAGTATTTTACTTATCTTGTACATCTGAACGGGATGGTTTCGTATTCAAGTTGCACCTTATTCTCGGCGTACACACTAGTATTCGTTTGTTTGTTCGCCAAAGCTGTTTTCCAAGGTTGTGGGATGTTTTACACAAAATAATTGAACGTTAGCGAACAAGACGTGCCTGAAAGTAACTGTACTCTTGAGATGTAAGCAATGAAGCTGAACGGAAAGAGATGAAATATAGACAATGGTGGACGGAAACTGTTTATTTTTTTTACGCTGCATACTGAAACTGATTATTTTGCCGGCAGCCACTAAAAATGCATGCGTTCGTCGCCTGCTGCTTCCCCTGGGCCATCAATGCCATTGCGAATAAAAAAGAAATGAGAAACTGACAGTGGCATAGCGCGAAATGCTTTTCGCCATGACCTAATTCTCTGAGTTTTCCGTTTGCACTATTGCTACCACAACATCCAGAAGCTTGCGGGAAAATAATAGATATAGTCAAAACGGCCCTTATTATCGTAAGGGTCATACGGTTTGACAATAATTCGGGTTTGTTTTTCTTCTATTGCCGTTAGTAAAACCATCAAATAAAATGCTGTATGAGTAAAACGATACTTTTAAGTTTTAATAATTATTTCCAAAGAGAAAGGAAAAGTGAGAATTCCGCAACCAACGTAAATATTTTTCTTTTCTTCAGGTATCTAAATTTTTAGTAGTAGCACATTATGTTTGTAGTTTCTGTGTTATTTGACTGTATTCCAAAGTCCAAAACTACAGAAGTAACTTCCACGGCTACTACTGTCTGCAAAACCGAAACGTTACGACTACTACAAGCGCTAATTATCTACTTACACTTACATACCAGTATTTTAGTTTTACTTCGTTTTACAATCGTTAGTACTTTTGGTATCGATTTTTTTTAACCAAATAATAAGTATAGATAGGTACCAATTAGGGTTTATACAAAACCGACATTTTAGAAAACCGGTTTTCGAATACTAATTTTTCCAGAAAACCGGTTTTAATTGGTTTCGAATTTTNGTCCTTAGTTTATTCACAAAATTCCCCGAAATAGAAAATACCCTCTCACTTGCGACCGAACTAGGCTTAATCGTTTTTAAAGCCTGATATAATAATTCTAAATTTTTTGTCCTTTTATTTGTGGCTTCCAGGGCCAAAAACTCTTTTCTTAGAGTTTGAGTAGAGGAAGTCACTTCTTCCGGTTCCTTTAAATAAAAACTATCAAACTGATATAAAATCTAAATTAATTCATCCAATAGACAAAACACACCGTTTATATCGGTCCGATATGATTCCAAGAACCAAACTACTTGCAACAGTGTTTTCATCAATCTGGTACATTTGGCTACATTTGTCATTTTCAAATTTTTTTTAAGTGTTATTCATTCATTGAAAACCGATATTTTCTACTAAAAAACCGGTTTTCGAATTTCATAATTTTCTCCAAAAAAAACGGTTTTTAAAAATCGACAAACCCTAGTACCAATCGATAATAAGTACTTACTCGTAACACTACTCAGTTGATTCAAAGGCAATTCTTTTTGGGTGGTTTATTTAAATGTATCTAAATATTTTTTAACAGTTTCCAATCTTGAATTTTCCATTTGGTCCTTCTGTTCTTTTTTCTCTCTGTCTCTGATTTTTTTAATATTTTTAACATAACAAAAATTCAAAGTGCTTCCAAGCTATCCTCATACTTAGAATTCGAATTTATTTGATAATTTGTAGATGGTATAAGAAAGAATTACATTTAATTTTTTTGGAATTGCACGGTAACAGGCTGGTCTAGCAGCCAATGCGCGGCTATCACCCGTAGGAAAAGTTTCCATTGAACTTCAATGGGAATCAATGTAAATTTGTAAATTCCATTCAAAACCATTTAGCATAAATGGAAAAATAATAGTTTCCATTTACAATAATTCCATTAATATTTACATAGAAAACATTTTCATTGATTTCCAATGGGAACCAATGCAAAATTTATAAATTTTATTTAAAACCATTCAATATAAAAGGAAAAACAATTGGGTACCTAAATATGGAGAAGGTCTAGTTGCAGACGATTAAAAGTTATTTAAAAAAATGGAGAAAAACGTGCTGAAGTTAATGTGATTGTCAAAGCAAGTTGTAAAAATTATTAACAAGACATTATTTGGTATAACAATTGTCATGTAATTCATATTTGTCTTCGTCAAAAAACCTTATATTTCATCTTAATTAAAATGTCATTTAATTACCACTAATAATAATTAAAGGTAAAAAGAAATTGATACTAGGATTTTCAGTGGATTTAGGTATGGAAATTCCAATGGAACGCAATGAATATCCCATTGTGTTCAGCAATGGAAATCCCATTGGGTTCGGGAATGCGATTTCCACTAGAATTTTAGTGGAAATTCCATTCATCCCATTGGCAATTCTCCATTTATTACCATTAATTATTTTTTGTGGTTATTAAATGGCATTTTTTAAATTGAAATAGAATGGAAATTTTTCCTACGGGTCGGTTACTTTAGTGTGATGCGGAAGTAGATGTCTCCTTCTTCCGCGCGTAGTGAACCACTCCCCTCGCAGTAATGGTGGCTGCTAGGGTCATTGTGATTATCTACATGTATGAAAACTAATTATTTGATATTAAATAGCAATATGATACCAATTATTACGGGAAATAAGGGCCAAGCGTCTTAACAACAAAACGAAAAAATTTGATTAAAATCTGCCCACTGGTTTTTGCGTGATGTAGGCACGTGACTACCATTATTTTATCTAATATACTTAGAGAATTATAATTCTCCTCAGAAAGCACTCGGTACGAGATAGTTGTCGTAGCGGTTGGTTTAATTTGTCTTTTCAATTCAAAGCGTGTATCAGTTTCAGCGTTAGGTGTAGCTTATTTATCACAGTGACATTTTCGCGCTCTGCAAATCCTACTGACGTGGTTTCGTTTATTGAAATGGATGTGCATGTGGTTATTAAGCTCCAAAACTAATTTCGTGCAACTGTAACTTATGTATATTACATATATCTCTTTTGACAATCTGAATTCCCTTCTTGCCCGCCTCCTAACATATTTCGCAAATAAATATGAATGTGCAACCTGCCCACATAAATAATGTAGGTATCTGTTAGAAGAGTATACAATAAATTTCCTATTACTTGAATTACTTAGGCGTTTTGCCTTTATAGATAGATGTTACACAAGACCAGAAACAACATAAAACAAAACAGACGAAACGAGAAGAAATTGTTTCATATTGTTTTGTTTTTGAAGTGAAACTTCTTTACGCACGGTAGGGTAAGTTCGTTTCATGAGAGTTTCTATGTAACGAAATCATGCAACGCATTTCCCCCGCTGTCTGTCCCTGTGTATGCTTAGATCTTTAAAACTACGCAACAGATTTTAATGCGGTTTTTTTTAATAAATAGAGTAATTCAAGAGGAAGGTTTGTATGTATAATACATGCATAATATAAAAGAGAAACACTGATAATTTTAGAGGTTTGTAAAGTGATGTCGTAAATAAACACATTTTTTTGCGCTTACATTGCAAACTCTGGCTGAACCCTACGAGATAGATCAAAATAATATATTACAGTATTGTACACCTTAGAAAGGTCTACAGAAAAGTCCGGGATGGTATATGTCTATCTCTTAGGGATAACCCACGATAACCATTTTTTATCTTTTACTTTTTACTAGAAATAATGGCTTATTTACGAAGCTATTTTAAGTAATACAGCATTAATCCATATCCAATTAAATACTTTTAAGTACATTCTGCATTTAATATAGATCAATATGGTCCTTTACAGCATCTAATTTAAATGAATATTTTTGAAAATGTTACAGGCTTAAAATGTAGGGACATAGCGGTTGCGGCGGTCCGACCGGATTGTATTGTCTAATGGCAAAAAAGCTATAATTGTTGTATATTAAGACATTCTATAGTATATTTACTATCAGTATTGCACCCGTGCGAAGCAAAGTGTACAAATAATACCATTAAACCAATTCCTTAACCCCCTATCCCGACATGTTTGTGTGTTTGAAGAAGTTTCACTTCAGTAGCGTGTTGTATAATTACACGTTGTATTTTTTTTTGTAACATTATGTTCAAAATACTAGAAACCGTTGCTTTATTCGAATTATAAAATGAAACGAAACTCCTTGTTAGGTGTTTACTCATTACGAAAAAGTAGTTAGTATAAAATTTTTGAAAGATCTGATAAAATCAAGCGTCCTAATACCCGTGAACGTTGTTATCCTTTTTTCTTCATTTACAGAATTGCTTCATAGAGCCATTCTTCTCAGTGGATCCGGTCTTTCACCGTGGGCAATGCAAAAGGACCCGCTAGCGGTAAAGCGTCATGTAGCTGAACAAACAGGTTGCCATGGAGATTTAGTGGATGATGATCTGGCCCCATGTCTCAGGATGAAATCGCTAGAACAACTGTTGGAAGTTCAAGTAAAACCACCGAGATTTCTTCCGGGTTTCGCTCCGTTCGTTGACGGTACCATTCTAGTGACACCCACAGCACCTCCACCACCGAGCAGTTCCACGACGATAGCAACTTCGTCGGGTTATGAGTTGGCCGATTTCCCAGAGAGGGACCTTCTTTTCAGTTTGACTACGACCGAGTCGTATTTGGACCTGAGTGCGCAAGACTTAGAGTTCGGTTTTAATGAAACGCGTAGAGACAGAATATTAAGGACGTATGTGAGGAATTCGTATTATTTTCATTTGAATGAAATTTTTTCGACTCTAAAAAATGAATATACGGACTGGGAAAAGCCAACGCAAAATCCGTTAAGTGTTCGGGACGCAACGTTAGAGGTGCTAAGTGATGGTCATACTGTCGCGCCGCTTATCCGAGTAGGCTATTTACATTCGCTAAGAGGGGGCAAGACTTTTTTTCTACATTTCCAACTCCAAAGTGCTGAACGGGATTTTCCACAGGTAATTAACATATACAATATTTACAATAAAAAATGAATAAATAAGAATCCTTTCCAATTTCACTGTAGAATTTTTCGATAATTTTTGGAGGGTGTAAATTATAATAAAATATTTTTTTTTATTTAAAATAAATACCTATTAAGCAGTGCCGACTTTAAGTGAAGCGAAAATGCCTGAAATAATTTTATTTCTATTATTTTTTCTATCTAGTGCTAGCCTCTGCAAAAAAAAGAGTTGATACTTTCTACTGCATAGTATCAATTATCTTGAGCCTAAAGAAAAATGTAACATTTATTGTTTTTTTTTAGTACCGAAAATATCGAAATAGGAAAACAGATTCGAAATTAAAATCCAATACGAACTTTGCAATAACTTGAAAACTTATATTTTCAATTGCTTGAAATATTTTCGACTTATTTAGATATGTATTTTCATATGTTCTACATTCAGCTCGGAGAGAAATAAAATTGAAACCTTCCGAAGAATAATAAAATCAAAATAGTTTGCTGTTTATGGCAACATAAAAGTTTCATTCATCGTCATTTGCAGCTAGCTATAAAATATGTAAAGTAGTGGCTCTTAACAATTATATTACACTAAAATTATAAGACTGACATTTCCACTTCGTTACATATGATACACCTCAATTCTCGTATTCTATAACTAGGTACTTAAGGAGCTATATCCTTATATCCTACAATCAATATTTGCCGCTATAACGTATGACGAAGGTATTCTTGACAGAAAAATTTACGCTGTTCATCAATATTCTCCTCATTGTGGATTAACGACATTCATGCCTATATGTACATACATATTCCAAAATGAACTTTAAAACAATTTAAATTGAAGCTCACTTTTTAGATTTGCAGATGATATAGCAGTATTAGCATCTAGCAAGGAGGAGTTAGAGATAGCTTTAAATAAAATGGAAGCGGTATTGACAAAACAGTACTGTATGAAACTAAATAATAGTAAAACGAAAATACTTGTATACAAGGGAATCAAAATACGGAAAGAGCAAATATAAAGATAGGAGACGAAAAATTAGAAGAAGTGACCGATTTGAGGTATCTAGGAAGTCAGGACGGAAGAAGTAGTAGGGATATAAAGCAGAGGATAGGGCAGGGTTGAGTCACCTCCAATAAAAAGAAGTCACTTCTATGCTTGCGAACGGTTAATTTAGAAATTCGGAAAAGGTTATTAAAGGTGTACGGGTGCGAAACATGGACAGTAGGCGCAGCGGAAAAGAAAAGGCTAGAAGCGTTCGAAATGTAATGTTACAGGTGAATGATGAGGATACCGTGGATAGAGAAGGTTAGAAATGAAGAGGTATTAGAATGAATTGGAGAACAGAGAACTCTATGGAAGTCAATAGGTAATAGGCAAGATAGGTTGGTGGACACCTTCTCAGGCATGAAGGTCTAGTCAGAGACATATTAGAGGCAGAAACGGGAATTGGGAAGGTTAGAGGTAGACCTAGATTAGATTACTGTTCGCAAATAATTAAGGATCTGGGTTGTTTTAGTTTTAGGGAAATACGAAGATTAGCTCAGGATGGGAAAAAGTAGAGTTGCGTGTCTAACCAGCCTTAGGACTGAGGACCTTGTGATGATGATTGATAAAGTGTTTTATACTGAAAAGATTTATTTATTAAGTTTTGGAACGTGTCGTCCGATTGCTGGTCTCTAAAAGCAGTTATCAAAATTTTGAAAAAGTTCAAACACCCAAACTTTATTAAATAAAAAAACTGTCACTACATTAGTATTATGTAAGCTTAACTGAGAATAGGAAACGAGAATATTTTCTTTAAAAGCACCCCATAAATCGATCAAACATTTGTAAGACACAAACTAATGGTCTCAAGAATTAGTGCTCTCATGATAAAAAAACTTTCCAAGTAGTATATTTAATGCAACCTACATACATCGCGGTCGCAAGTATACTTGCATCTTGAATACACATAAAGGAGATTATAATCCTTTGACTCATACAAAAGTGAGGGCTTTACGTTTAAGAGCGTACTTTGCCCTTCTCAAAGGATTATCAATTTGATCTTGACATTAGGTGGATCTCAGGCTTTTCTTTTCTTTGGTTACTTTCATGTTCTCGAGTATTAGCAGTTGCAATTAGGATTAAGCCCTCGAGCATTCCCGGTTCTTTTCAATTTAGTAGGTATGTTCAAAATAGTATTTGTGCTGGAAGTCGGTCAGAAATTAATAAATACAATTAATTAAAAAAAAGCAGCTGATAACAATGAAAACACTAAATTGGTAAATTGTACCTACCCAAGATATTGAACACTTTTCCATAGTAAAAAAAAAAACTTTTGGGTGTTTCATTCCCACCAGCCACTAATGCTGGTGGGCGGGCGGTCCTTCCGGACTACGCCGGAAGGTAGGGCGGAAAGTCCTCTTTCAAGAATCGTGGGAATGGGTGGGTGGTGGTTCGGGTGAGAAAGATAAGACGGACGAAATGAAGAAGATAGAAGAGAATGAAAGATTATCTGTGGAATATTACTGCCTCAGCATTTGCCTAGGTGATCCAAGGAAACTACAGAAAAACTTGGACCAAGGCAGACGGACCCGGAATCGAACCGCCGTCCTCCCGAATGCTAAGCAATGGTCTAGACCTCTAGGTCATGCCGCTCGGTTTTCCATAGTAAAAAACAGAAAAGTAACTCTACTGGCATTGCTGATCCCTGCGTTCATTTAAACCATTCGTTAAATATAATTAACATTAAATTTTACATAAAAATATTCCAACATCCCAGAAATCATTTCATTTTTTTAGTGAATTTAGAAATTTATTCTAGATAAGTCAAACAATTTTAGAGCAATTCAGCTTTTTTTGCTTCAAATCCAACCTTAGATCGCATAGGTTATTACACTCTGTGAGCACATTCAAAAACAGAGCGGCTAATCTGGTTAATGAGTATTGTCATAACCTACATTTTTCGGAAGCCCAAAGCCGGCAATTTCATCATCATCATCATCATAATAAGGTCGTTAGCCCTAAGACTCAACCCACAACCTTAGCTGTTTTTAACAGTAATTTAATGTGAATCTGCCTCTACCCCTCCGTTTCTGCCTCTAATGTCTCTGACTAGATCTTCATCCCTGAGAAGGAGTCCTACTAACCCATCTTTCATCAACCATTTCTTATTGACTTCTAGAGAGTCATCTGTTCTTCATTTCTAACCTTCTCTATCCACAGTACCCTCATCATTCGCCTGTAACACCACATTTGGAACGCTTCTAACCACAGCACAACTTTTAAATTTTCCAATTTCCCTACTTGTCTCATTATCCTAACATTCCACGCTCGGACTCGTGAAATATTGCACCTACCCCTATTGCACTTATTGATAACATGCCTTGAGGTAGTCCCCTCCCGGACATCCGAATGGTGGACTTGTTTAATGTTCGGAGTGCTTTACCTGAGAGCATGACATCATTTTAGTTTCGTGTGTTTTTCTTGGGATATCATAATGTGGTGGTTTCTCGTTGCCTTCCACGTCGCAGTATTGTGCCATACGGATCCTCGTGATCTCTGCCACCCTGAGTACTGAAAGAGCTGCTGCCCTTTTTCAGGGACTTGTTTTACTCTGGTTTCTCTTTAAGAACCCTCCATAATGGTTCTTTTTTATCAAGGGTGTGAAATATACTGCTTCATTAATTATTTTCTGTATTTCATTTTTTGCGCTACTGTAAGAGTGTTCTGGTTTGTAATAATACCTAATCTGGTTTAAATCAAACAGATTGTCATTTCTTTTTTCATTTTTGTTGTTTTTTCTTTTTGTGTAAAGCCGATTGGCGTACATAGTTGAATAAATAATTTAATAAATTGGGTTAATAACCAAACAACAGTAATAATCCGTATTTCCTTCCTACTTTTGTACAATTTTTAGGTAATAGACACATATAAATGATAGATCATAGTTCTAAACTTTAGTTATCCTTTGTATGTACCTATTCTCACAAATGACCGAAACTATACAGTATTAATTAAACATTTATGAAACTGACAATCTTTTTAAGTCAATTCTTTTATGTGATAATGCGTTTTGTTTTTTTAAATTAAAAGAACAAAACTTTCCGTCTGGTTTTCTTTTATTTGCTGAAGGATATTTACTAGGAGCTATAAAACAGTGCAGGGATCATTTGCATTGTTAAGTAGCTCGTAAAGCTTGAGAGGTAGTTCAACAGCAACAAAAGTTCCATGAGATATTTGCACTGTTATGATTGTATTTGTGTATAAAATATTATAAGTCTGCACTCTGTGTTTTGGCTGATGGTGAGTGAAATATAAGAAGTCGTAAAAACCGAACAAGATACCCCGCTTCAGTTTGAATTATGCTTCTTTAATAAAGTATTTCAATTTAAAGCTAATGATAAAAGAGAAATATAATTCATACTTTTTAACAACATCGCCATTTAGGATCTTTTTTTATATTAAACACGTGAATGCCGAAGCTTTTGGTACATAAGTGTTTGTTTGGGAGTTACAATTAAATATCTTTCGAATTACAAAAGTAATCGCGTTAAAAATTAGGCATTACAAAACAAAGGATGATTGTACTATAAATGTAACATCTCCCGTTGATTATACATACTTATGTGTAAATGTATCTAACGAGTATGCGTAAGGTAAGTACCATGTAGGTAGATGCACTATCCTGTATTATGTAAAACAGGCCCTTGAGGAAAACGTAATAGTTTCCATTAAGAGATTTGCCGTCAGACATGTAGTTTCTAATTATAGTTTCTGTACAAATTTGAAACTGCCGTAGTATGGCAAGGATAATAAGAGCTTCGTTTGATTTATTCCACTAAAGACTCTAGAATAATATGCTAGTTTCAAAACCAACCACCTAAGATTGTAGTACGTAACATCACTATTATACAGGGTGACTCAAGGAGGTGTGACTGTCTTAGAACGGCCGAACGTCCCCCTTCGGGAAGGTTAATGTTTTCGGAATGGCAGATATACCCTCTGCA